GGTTGCCGCCGGCAACAAAAACCCGGGGCCCAGCGCAGGGCTCCCTTCTCTGCCAGCCCACGGGGAAACGCCCGTGCGTGGCGGGGGAGGAACGGGTGACTATTTTCTTTAAAGGTGATGCGCAGTTTGTTCAGCTCTTAATAACGTGAGCTGCTGGGCTCGAATTTCATGGTTGAGAGGACAAGTCGGTTTTGTGTCGGGCTTGCTGGGGATGTGCGAATCTCGCTCTCTCCTCCCCATCCTGGAACTTGTGCCTCTCCCAGGAACCACCCCAGCCGCGCTCCCTGGGGAGGCCCTTCACACGCCGCACGGCGAGCCCAGGGATGACCGTGTCCTCCTCAGCGCTGGGCAGCGGCGGGGGTTCAGAGCTGTTAACAGTAACAAACCCTTTCTCCAGGTCATGTAGCAGACATGTACTCTACGCTGCTGTTTATTGCAGTACACTCTGTTGACAGCCAGTCACAAACATGAGATGTTTAAAAGAGAAAATAATTGCAGAAAGATCAATTTCTAAAAATTAGGCAGGTGCTAATTCTTCCAGAAATTGGTCACCTGCAAACAAGTCTTTAGAAAGGTAAACTGTTGTGCTTTGCTGCTATGAAAATATTAATGCTAATTATCTAATATCAGGACAAAAAAGCTATATTCAGTTCAAATGCAAAAAGCTCAAAGTCACTCATTATAATTTAATTGAAATTACTTCGTAAAAAACCCCCACTTTTAAATTTGATCCAAATAAATCCAGACAATGTGTAAACTTTATCAAAATGCAATTTTTCAACTAAACACAAATTTAAATTGCATTGAGAAAGCCACAAAGCATATTCAGCTTAAAAATGAAGTCACTGAGATTTGGGTGATTAGGTTTTCCCCTTTCCTTTCTAAACTGTCACAGACTTGAACAATCATTCATAGCAGACTAGAAGGAAAAGTAAATAATCTTTGGTATTCTTAGGTTTAGGGAAAGTTTAACCTTTTCTCATTCTGTCCTTCATACTAATATAGCCTTTTTCCGTGAAAGTATTTTTACTAATTATTAATGCTAGAAAGGTACATGAGCAAAATATATTTTTTTAATAACATAGAACATATCCGTAAAACTGCTACTGTTACTATGTGGCAATATGATCATTTATGTTCTGTGTTTGATTACTCTCTCTTAGTAAACCATTCACCTGGGAAAGTCAAACATCCATTTATGTTACTAGTGAACAAGCCTATCCTAATTTTGGCACACCTGGCATTCAGTTACTGTGATGATTTTACAAGAATCTGAATTAAGAGGTTCACTACTGTTAATTAAATTTGTAAATTTTATAATAGAAATGAAAAACGAGAGCCTACTTCTCTTCCTGTTCACTTAAAGAACGTAATCACATCACTGGATATTAAGAAAAAAATCCTAGCACTACACTAATTTCCCCAGCCAGATTAAGGTGTAAATCCTGCAAATCTACACTCATAAATATAATCATGACTCTGTGCCTATTCAGGCAATGATTAATTGCAAAAAAAAAAAAAAAAAAGAAAAAGAAAAAGAAAAAAAAGGTGTTTAACATCACTCTCAAAGGTAATATTGACGCGTAACAAGTAATAATATGAATTACAGTACTGAGGGACTTACAGTATCATTTTACCTTGTCAAAGGACAATTAAAATGTACTTATCTGACAATTTCAGTCATCAGTTCTTGTTACAAGAAGTCTTAATTCTTAAATTCTTAGCATATCATAAAATGTATGCAAAAACAGTGATCCACTGAATTCTCATACATTAAGACTGTACTTTAAAGTGGGAATTCAGATGCCGAAGAAAATCTTCCTTAGATGTTATAGATGGTGGGAAAACTTCTCGACAGAATTCACATATTCCACACTGATTCAGTTCATAGTCTGTATAAGCTTGTGCCAGCAAATCATTGTCTCGAGGCTGCCAAATGAGCTAAAAGAAACAGAAAATGATTATTGCTGTGGTTTACAATGTGGTTTACTTTTATATAAAAAAAAATACCTGCCTTTTTAAACTAGGTGTCCTTTACACCTGTGTGGCCAGACACATTAACTAGAGAGCTCTCATTTAAAAGAAGCAAGATAGTACTTTGATTTTTTAAGGTTCTATAGACATACTATCCTTGCAAACACTTAGAATGCATTGATATCTGTTCATGATAAATACTGCTATGAGCGAAAGTCTGTAATATCAGTCTGATAAATATTAGGGCTTTTCTGTAACTCTGCATTTCAGTATTTTACTGTAGAAGCCATGGTACAGAATAGCCATTTAACAGAAATGAGAAAACACATTTGTACCTTAGAATAAAATGTTCCCTGTACAGAGTTAATATGAATCATATTCTATTTCTACTCTTATTGACATATAACTAGTTTTCAGTTTACTTACAAAATCAGTAGAGCAATGTCATATGCCTGAAGTTACTTATTTGCTCTGATTGCCTTTTAGTGTAAGCATCTCTCAAATAATCTGTTTTGGGATTCCTTCTGCCATGAGAGCATCAAACTCAATGGGACCATCTCAATATCTATCCATGCGTTCAGGGAATTCCGTACACTACGCTGCATTTGGTTGAGCAGCTGTACTGCTCCTGGTCCCTGAGCCAGTTAGTTTAAAGACAGCAAGTCTGTTTACTTGACATTGGAGTTCAAGGGACTTCAGCCCGATACATACTTTAAGTCAGAGGCTACACTAATTATTTAGCATCATACCAACTAGGAATCAAAAAGTCTCCTATCAGTTTTCAAAGTAAAGTTAAAAATTAAGTTTCATTACTTTAGTATTAGCAACACAAGATAAAATACGTAGTTATGTTATATGGCCAGGATGATTAGATTTTGAGTAAACTGAAAACTAAATGCATATTGCAGTGACTGCAAAGTAGACAGAATGACAGCAAGCTGGTATGAGCTCTATGTGGGGATGGAACCTAGAAGAGGAGAGTGCCCTACAGCTTTTTTTTTTTGCTCAGTCTTCTCTCTTGCTTCACTCACACATGGAAAGACAAGCAAGAACACTTTAGAAAGTAGTTTCTTTAGAAGTTTTAAATTTCTTGCTATTGATACTTACCCAAGAGTTTTAATTTTCAGCTCTTATTCTCATTTCACCATGCCAAACAGAATTTATTGTTAGTCCTCCCACCGTAACTCATTGTACAACTAACCTGGCCTTCACAATGGTTAAACCTTGTTTTTAAACCAGCTAAACTTCTTGGAGTCAATTTTCTGTCCATTCCCTATTTAAACAGTGTTTAGCTTAGCAGATAGCAATAGCAGATTTACTGTCTTTCATTATGGTCAGCAATCCATATAATTAAATTGCCTAATTAGTAATTAAGTGCAATCACACCCCTTTTTTCAGCTCAAAGAGTCTACTTATTGTATGTTGCTGGTGTAAATTGCATATTAAATCTATCTAGACACAGACACACTTAAACATCTTTACAGGAATGTGTTTAGAATTATTTGTTTCTAATATATTATGATGTAAAGTGCCATTTTAAAAAAGATAAAATAGTATTGTAAAAACCCCACAAAGGACATAGTAAGTTTTCTAATCTTGGAAGCACAAGGGGAGGTAAAAGTCCAGCAACCCACGGAGGCGGGCACTTAACTTCCATTTCTTTCTTTGAGTGTTAAGCATGTGCTTAATATGCTTTTCAGAATAGGGACAGATTTAAGCAGATGTTCAATTAAAAAAAATATATTCAGATTAAGATCAATAGACTATTGATTTGCTTTTAAAAACGTGAACATTCTTAGAAATATTTTTAGTGGAAACAACCCCCTCAAACTGTGAATACTGATAAACACATGCACCTACATGTAAGTCTCAGTTAAATGTAGTCTGTAAAATCCTAGGTCCACTAATACCCATGTTTATTTTAATCTGCTGCTCTTTTCAGTCACATGTTTTTTTAAAAAGTTACATCCTAAGAAAACAGTACTGAGTTTTCACATTTAGTATCCACATAGAAGGAAAGAGCTAAATTTATTTCAGGAACTGAGAGCAGTTCCAAGAACTTACTGTTGCCAAATCTATTGCATTTATGGGGTTTTCCATTTTATAAGTTAACATATGTAGTAAATACTTGAAAGTTTTATCTACACTGGGAAAAAAACCCCAGGTATATAATTCCTCCCAATTGGACCTCCAGAACTGGCAGGGATGATGGAAGCCGTAAGCAGTGTAGCTACCCCTTAGAAAGGTTGTAAAAACACTAAGAACAAGTTTATGCATAAATTTTGCTGAGGCTAATACAGTCAAAAAGCCATGTATGCAAGTATCTTAAAAACATTAGTATTTTAATCTACATATATATTATGTATGAATCAAATCTTTATCACAATTAACAGTCAGAAAAAATTCTAAAGCAAGTCCAATACACTGGGAAAAATAATTAAAAACCTCTTTTGAAGGCAGCTGAATAAAGGTGATGGATGTTTAAATATACTGATATACACAGATGTATATTTAATGGATTCTAAAGTAATACTGGCTTGTTTTGAACAAGCTTCTGGATAAGATACAACATTTTAATAAATGTCCTGTATGTTCTACAGCGCTACTGTAGATACAAATACTGAAACCGTTCACCATTGCCTTTCTTTTCTCTGAGTGTTAGCACTAGTACATTTTCTCCACAAAGTGGATAATTTACATTTTCAATGATGGCTCCAAATTAATTTCCTTATTTTGCAGAAATACCAGTGATCAAACCAAAGGCTTACTGCTGTTCAACTGTGATTCTTCTCTACTTTTTAAGCTGCACACTACCCCTATCAATTTATAATCACATACCAGCTGTTTCACTTGCTGTAATATACAATGCAGGGTGCCATCTATTGAAAAATGAATACATAGACTAACCAGCAAAAGAACAAGCTGGAGAGGGAATACAGAAGAGGATAGTAACAAGCAATGGAGTGAATGCTTCACAGCTCCACAGGAATTCTACCAGTGATAAAATAAATGGTTTAATTTGTTTAACTCAGTCACTTCAGCTGAGGATCCAATGAAAAATAAAGCACAATAAAAACTGCTATTAGTAAGTTGGTATAGAATTGAGATCTTCTACATTACAAATAGTTATTTAAAATACATTTTGAAAAATCAGACTTATAGTTTAAAATACAGTGATGAAGAACAGCATACTTTCCATGCTTTAAATTTTTCATCCAAAAACTGGTTTGCAATAGAAAGTTAAACTAAGATTGGGTTCATTTTAGAAGAAGAAAATGTCAAAGCTATCATGTTTTGCCTTTCATGCAGTGGGAAAATTGAGGGGTGAAGCTCTTCTGCTGTCTGTACTTTGTCATTAGCAGAGAACAGAAAACCACATCAATGTAAATAGTAAAAATATGCCAAATTCACCCTTACAGAATTCCTAAATATCACTATTTGCTTATTCTTGAAAAGCTGTCCTCTCACAAAGTGTGAGAAAAGCCACAGAAATGTAAAAAAATCAGTCTATAAAGGTCCATAATAATTTTGCCAGCAGTTTCAGTTGTGACAGGATGTTACACAAAAGAAGCAAAGTATTCAGAGACGTGATTGCCACAACCTGCTGAAATGTTTTTCTGCATTACAGCTACTGGGCCTTGCTTTCAGAAGCTCTCATGGACTTCAAGTAGCTATAACTGAAATTCAAGCCCAAAGTACCTACATAAACCTAAAATAAAGTATTTTAGTGAACCTCTTTTCATTTGACAAAATAAATATGCTTTCCTCCTTGATTGCTTAAACTATGAAGAAAAAAAATTATGTCTTCTTAGAGGGGAGGAATAGGGAGGGTGCTGTTTATAACTCACATGGAGATAAAAAGTAGGTATTTTTTCCACAGTGAAGTATTTATCTGTTCAGCTTTTTAATTAGTCCATTTGTCATATTCTCTGCCGTACATTAAAAACAATTATGTGCCCTATTCAACTGAGATCAAGGGTAGAAAGCAAGCAATCTAGGGGGGCAACACGATTAATGACAGCTTTGAAATAGATACAGAAGCAATTAATATCTAAATTAACTTAAATTTGAGCAAGCATATCCAGTGCCTACATCTGCTTAAATTCCTGCCCTTTCACTGGAAAAGTGCCTTGTATACACACGTGAATATCAGGAAGAACTGAGAAGAGATATTGTCTTTAAAAAAGGCTGATGAGATACCTCATAGAATACACTAATCCCATCTCAAAGATCTTCGCAAAGTGGTTGTCAATTTTTTAATATGTACAGTATTTATAGAAAGATACCTGATGAGGACCTCTGACGGTTGTCCCAGCAGCTTCTGAAGAAAAAAATACTTCAGGTACACCCTGGTTTGTGTGCTTAGGTACAAATGTGAAAGCAGTGTCTGTTGTTTTTATACATGTTTTGTCACGGGTATTTTCTATGGACATGTTTGCATGACTTGGGGGGTTTGTTTTGTCAACAGTAGTTAGGCTTTGTAAAGCTGAGGTCATGAGATCAACTCCATGAGCTTCAAATGAGTTAGGTTCCAATCTACCGAGGTTAACAGTACGGTCTCTGTGCTCCAGGTTAAAATGATGATCTTGAAGCATGTTTTCAGCTCCACCAGTACAAGGAACTGTTGGTTTTTCCTGAGTGCTCTGCAAGAAAGCAGAGTCATTGTCTGTAGGTGGAAACTTGACATTAAATTTAGAAAGTGATTCTACAGAGCTGTTGTCCTCATCTTGGCCCACTCCTCTTGGTGTGATAGATGTGATGCATGATGCACCTCTATTTATATCCTTTATAACCCGAGGCTTCAAAAGCTCTTCTGCTTGTTCATCAGTTTTATCAGTACACTGTATCGGCATGGAAAACTGTATTTCTGTGAAGAAAGAATGAAGAAAACATTAAATATAGTCCACTGAAGGATAGTTATTCAAGGTCTGGTGTTGAGGTATTTCTCCTGAGAGGTTTTTGATTTTCCTTCTTGGCTTTTTAACCTTTATTTTTTCTTTTTGAAATCAGTTTGAGGCGTAGTTCTCTTTCATGAACATGAGCTCTGACACAAAACCTATCAGAACAGAAATAAAAGGAAATATTTCTGTTCTAATAATTCTACTTCTCTTTGATTTATGGATATAAACATTTTCTTTTTCTTGAAAATTATGTTGTCCCATACTCTTAACACATACTTGCATATATTTACTGAAGTGTTCTGGCAGAAATAGAAGCTGGAACCAAACCCATTTCACACAGTGCCAAGAACAAGATAGGTGCCATGAGCACAATTTTAGAAGGTATTCAGGTACCAAACTCCCATTGGTTTCCAAATTAGGTAAATATTTAAACTGCATAAATATTCAGAAACGGGTCCGTATTTTCCCTTCATTTTGAGAATTCCCCGTTAATTTTTGTCACTTTATTAACAAAAATGGTAATAATATACATGGTTACCCCTAATCATGTGAGAGAATAACTTCAGGACACATTTATTGTACAGCAGCCACCTGACATCACTCAGGTATTGTAGTAATGTGGGCCACAGAAGTAACAGAAATCAAGCAGATTAAATCGGTATCATGTATAGCTTTTCACACAGTTGAGTTAGGCCCTTATTTAAGGATTTAAGGAAAATAAATCCGTTCTGAAATAAGTTGCTAAGCACTCATCCCCCCAAATTCCCACTCCCAAATAATAAAAGTTTAGTAGTGTACAATCAGAATATAACAGTATAGTTCAGATATAGCAATTTGAAGCCACAAGCTACAGATTAACACTTCAAGCAACAAAACTTCAGGAATGGTATAACCTAAATTAGAAGCAAGTGCCAAAATCAGCGTCTTTTGCTTCAAAGTGTAAGTTTGGCAGGTGTTTTTTGATATCACTTAAGAGTCTGATCCTACTATTAAGAAAACCTAGCAGGGAACACCCATATTACATTATATTAAATGTAAGCATTAGTAGAACCAGACATTCAGGATCTCTTCCAGTTGCAACAAAAACCAAGCCTTTCTTTTGTTTTCAGGAAGCACTGGATTAAGCTCCTGTCCCATATAACAAAACAGTATTCGAAAGTCTGAACAAGGAAGTCTAGAAAATAAGTCCTCTGACTCTCCTCAGTCCGTCAGTTTTCCTCTAACAGATATGGGGCTAGAGACATACATAACAGGCATCTTTTGAACTGACAGCTAAATTAAAAGCAAGCAAGTGCTGTCACTCACACAGTATGATAGGATATCACATGTAGTAAGTGCCTGCCTCTCACTCCAAGGGACAAAACAATTACAAGAGCCATTGATGTGATGACTGTCTTTTATAGCATTTGATTTGGAGCATTCCTCATAGAATGCCAAAACTGGCGGTGTATTTTCTTGGTGAAATACTGAGCACCATGTGAACAGACTTGAAAAAGGCAGATGGTAAACAGTGGAAGTACTTCTATGTATGTGTAATTTACAGTATTTTCAAATATAAAGCAAAGCTTTCAAACAGTTGAATCACAATAAGAGCTTAAGCATGATATTACCAGTTTCAGGTTCTGGCTTTATCTTAAATTTACTCAGTTGGTCTGTTTGTTCTCTGGCTAGCACACATATTCGATGACACTCTTCATTCATGTCCTGGAAAATAGTCTCCAGATTCTCCCTGGAAGATCAAAATTGGAAATTAAAGAGTCAACCAATTCAGCTTGTTGTGACCTTTAATTTAGTGACACCCACAAACTAGAGAAAAACAATAGTGTAAGCTACTTGGATACCTTGTTCCTCAACATATGCATACATATTTTTGTTCTTCTCAGTAAAAGCAAGCAGAAAGGGAAAAGAAAATGTTGTCAAAGAGCTATTTAGTCCTATCATACACACATACATTCAAGCTCACGGCCTGACCCTGCAAGGACCCCCCCAAAAATCCAGCCTTTACATTTCTTTCAGTTCCCTCAGGTATTTTGTGGAACAGCTTATCTTTCACAAAGGTACTGTTTCCTTCTCATCTAGGGAAAATAAGATGCTGCTGCTGTGAACATTAATTGTTTTCCATTGTTTTCTGTGTGCTTCAGACTTTGCAGGAGAATGAACACACAAGCAGTTGTTACTGCTCCTTCTGTCTGTGTCTACCTGACTTTTTGAAGAGAGGCTTGTGAACTCATTCCTTCTCTGTTTTATACAGCATCACATGACTTGTCCTTTTATTTTGAGGGATTTAAAACATTTTATCTTTTCCAGAGTATCATGTAGACATCTGATATTTAATTATCTGCACTGAGAATGGTAAAAGTAGTTCTTCATGCTGTTGTGAATTTTATTTGCCCAAAGGCACTACATTTTTCAGTTACTGATGCATCCATAAAATCCTATTGTGAAATTTCGATGAACTTGATGAGTAATTTATATTTCTAAGGACAGTATCATGGGTTTTATAAAATCGACTTCAAGGATGAAAAAGTTAAGTTGGTGACAAACCGGAGTTGTGTTCTTTTTTGCATCTTTTTATCAAAAGAGCCCTACAGGGATTTTTCTTTAATCCAGTGAATTGTTTTCCTTTTTACTGTTATTCATATAGCAATCAGGAGTGTCAGGAGCTGTGCTTCTCTTTTGGAAGACACAAATGTCTATTTGTGTCTCATTAAAAAAAAAAACCCAAAACCTACAAGAAGAATTAAAGTTACTACTGTTAACACTTACATTCTGATCATTTTCAAGTGTTTTGATAAATAAGAAATTTTAAAGATGACTCTTAACACAAGATTCTAATTGGAGCTTTAAATTATACATATGATTAGATAAATCAGTCTTAATTTGCTAGACATTTGTGATACCATAATCTTACTAGTGTAAGATTACTAGTAATCTTACCAGTCACATACCTCTTTCCAAGAAAACTGTAAAGTATGGGAGCTATTTGAGAGGAGGGAGACAGAAGACAGGCAAAAGTTTTTCATTTTTTAGATATAAATCAATAAAGACAAAAAAGTCTTCATCACATCACAGTCTTATTTCCTGTCTTGTCAAAAAGCAGTAGTGAGTCAGACTAAAGATCCACGTAGTTCATCTAGCCTGTGTTTGAGAGTGGCCAAAAGCAGATGCCTAGGCAAGAGTGTAAGACAGCAAGAATTTATGATACTTTTTCCTAATACTCTCCTAGCCTCACCTTAGAGAACCTTCTATTTGACCTCAGCAGAATTGTTGAAAGTGCTATTACTGCCTATCCTGTGACAAACGCAAACCTGAGACTTTGGTCAGTATTCTTCCCAAACCACTGGCAGAAGACGGAATTCTTGCTTAGGAAACATACTGCTTTCAGTTCCTTGGTCATAGCAAGGGGTGGCTGCTTCACCTTACGGATAAACCTGGTTTCAAACTCTCATTTAGGATGGATCAGGCCAAGAATTATTTCTTCATACTGACTATCAGACTTCCTCATGGCAGTGCAGCAGGCACCTCTGCTGTGCTGCCGCCAGTTAATCCATTATGGTTGTACATTCCTGTTCTGAAGAGAGTTAATGCAAGGGAGTTAATGCTTACCCAAACCCCAGCATTAACATCC